TTTGCTTCATCCGCAATTCTACATCTGGTTCTTACCTCTAATTCTTCTCTCAATTATAAAACCCCTTCCGTTCACTTTTTCCTGTTATACTCGGTAAAATTATTCCTCTATAATTTTTACAGTCCTCTTTGTCCCTTTCCTTTTTATATTGGGACTAGACATGCTCTCCGCCAATCCTAGGTTTCTTTCCCTCTTTATCATTTATTGAACAAAAGTACCAACCACTCCAACCACTAATATCCCCTCCTGCTTTTAAACATTTCTGTTCATTGATACCCATCCAGTTCCAGCTGCTTTACCCCCTTTCAATTGTAAGTAATGCCTCATGTACTCCCCACATTACATTCTGCTCTTCTTCACTCCTAAAGATGGTATACCTCCCTCGGTCCAGTGCATGAAGTTACCGCCTCTCCTTTCTTCCTCAACTTTAAAAGTTCTCAAATATTCGAGCATCTACTAATACCTTCCTCTCCCCATCTACTAACTCCCCTACTCTGTTTTTAACTGACAAATAATACTTTCCTAGGCTTTCTTACTTGTTTAACTCAACTCCAAAATTTTTTCTTATTTTAATTTAATTTCACTTGGATCAAGTGCTCTCCCACTTCTTTCATCTGCTCTCTTTTGCACTCTTCAACCTTTCTTTTTACTCTCCATATACACTGCTTTCTTATACAATTCCGCTTTGTAATAACTCTCGTAAGTACCTTTTTATACTTTTATCACACCCTATACCTTATCATTCCTCCAATCACTCATCTTTCTTGCACCCAAACCTCTTGTAACCCACCAAAATTCTGCCCCACATTCTTATACTGCATTTTTAAAATATTCCACCCTCTTCAACCCCACTAATCTTTGCACTGCCCACCTTTTCTGCCAATTGTTGCTTTTTTCTCGCCCGACCGAACATCCTCCTCCTTAGTTTATACACTTTCACTCCCTCTTACTGTTGTTGCATCTTCATCTTTTCCCATTCTACCTCTTATTCTAACTGTAGCTAACAAACTAAATAATGATTGATATATCAGTTTGCCCTCTATAAAACAATGAACATCCTGAGGCTACCCATCACACCTTTTATTCCACCAATACATAATCTAACAAACTACTTTCATTACATGCTAACATCTACCTTGTATATTTATTTATCCCTCTTTTTCATAAAAATATGTATTACTTATTACAAATTTCTTTCTACACATAGCTCCAATTTAAGGTTACCCAGTTTACATTTTACCCCTGGCACCCCAAATTTACCTACTACTCCATCATAACATTTTTACCCACTTTAGAATTGAAGTCCCAAACATCCATTACTCTCACACTAGGATTCAATTACTTCAAACGCATTACTGGACATTCCCAGATCCTCTCTCTCTCTCTTTCAGTTCTCTCTTCTCCAGGTGGCATATACGCTTTACTATAACCTACTATTAACATCTATCTTTTGTTACTCCACATTAATCCTTGGAATTTATGCATTTGTAGTCCCTCTTTTCCTGCCATAGCTTATCCTTCAACATTATTGCTACTCCTTCTTTAGCTCTAACTCTATTTGAAACCCCTGACCTAATCCCATTTATTCCTCTCCATTGAAACTCTCCCACCCCTCAGCTTTGTTTCACTTAAAGCCAGGACATCCAGTTTCTTGTCATTCATAACATCCACAATCATCTCTTTTATCATTTGCACAACATCCACGCACATTCAGACTTCCCACTTTGACAATTTTCTTCTTCTTATTCTTTTTAGTAATCTTTACAGGAAAAGGGGTTACTAGCCCATTGTTCCCGGCATTTTAGTTGACTTTTACAACACGCATGGCTTACGGAGGAATGATTCTTATTCCACTTCCCCATGGATATAAAAGGAAAAGTAATAAGACCAAGAACTATTAAGATAAAATCAAAGAAAACTCAGATGAGTGTGTATAAATAAACATGTACATGTATGTGTAGTGTGACCTAAGTGTAAGTAGAAGTAGCAAGACGTACCTGTAATCTGGCATATTTATGAGACAGACAAAAGACACCAGCAATCCTACCATCATGTAAAACAATTACAGGCTTTCGTTTTACACTCACTTGGCAGGACGGTAGTACCTCCCTGGTTGGTTGCTGTGTACCAACCTACTTCTCATATATTTTTTTTTTTTTTCTTCAACAAGTCGGCCGTCTCCCACCGAGGCAGGGTGACCCAAAAAAGAAAGAAAATCCCCAAAAAGAAAATACTTTCATCATCATTCAACACTTTCACCACACTCGCACATTATCACTGTTTTTGCAGAGGTGCTCAGAATACAACAGTCTAGAAGCATACACATATAAAGATACACAACATATATATATATAAAAGGAGAGGGGGAGAGGGAAGGAAAAAAGGAGGGGGGGAGAGGGAAGGTAAAAAAAAGGAGGGGGAAGGGAAGGAAAAAAGGAGGGGGAGAGGGAAGGAAAAAAAAGGAGGGGGAGAGGGAAGGAAAAAAAAAGGAGGGGGAGAGGGAAGGAAAAAAAGGAGGGTGGAGAGGAAGGAAAAAAGGAGGGTGGAGAGGGAAGGAAAAAAGGAGGGGGGAGAGGGAAGGAAAAAAGGAGGGGGAGAGGGAAGGACAAAAAAGGAGGGGGGAGAGGGGAAGGAAAAAAAAGGAGGGGGAGAGGGAAGGAAAAAAAAGGAGGGGGAGAGGGAAGGAAAAAAGGAGGGGGAGAGGGAAGGAAAAAAAGGATGGGAGGGGGAAAAGGAAAAAAATAGGAGGGGGAGAGGAAAGGTAAAAGGGGGAGGGGGGGAAGGAAAGAGGAGGTGAGGGAAAGAAAAGGAGGGTGAGAGAGGGAAGGAAAAAAGGAAAAGGAAGTGTTAGAGGGAAGGAGAAAGAAAAGGAGGGGAAGGGGGAAATAAGGAGGGGGAGTGGGGGAAGGGAAAAAAGGAGGGGAGAGTGGGGAAGGGAAAAAGAGGAGGAAGGAAAAAAAGGAGGGGGAAAGGAGATGGGAAGAAAAGGGAGGGAGAGAGGAGAGAGAGAGAGAGGAGAGAGAGAGAGAGGAGAGGAGAGAGAGAGAGAGCGAGAGAGAGAGCGAGAGGAGAGAGCGAGAGAGAGAGCGAGAGAGAGGCGGAGAGAGAGCGAGAGAGAGAGCGAGAGAGAGAGCGAGAGAGAGAGCGAGAGAGAGAGCGAGAGAGAGAGAGGGGAGGAGGAGAGCAGAGAGGGAGAGCGAGAGAGAGAGCGAGAGAGGAGAGAGAGAGCGAGAGAGAGAGAGAGGAGGCGAGAGAGAGAGCGAGAGAGAGAGCAGGAGAGCGAGAGCGAGAAATAAAAAGAGAGGGTAAGAAAAGGGAAATAAAAAGAGAGGGTAAGAGAAGGAAATAAAAAGAGAGGGTAAGAGAAGGAAATAAAAGGAGAGGGGGGAGAAGGAAATAAAAGGAGAGGGGGGAGAAGGAAATAAAAGGAGAGGGGGAGAAGGAAATAAAAGGAGAGGGGGGAGAAGGAAATAAAAGAAGGGGGAGAGAAGGAAATAAAAGAAGGGGGAGAGAAGGAAATAAAAGGAGAGGGGGAGAGAAGGAAATAAAAGGAGAAGGGGGGAGAGAGAAGGAAATAAAAGGAGAAGGGGGAGAGAGAAGGAAATAAAAGGAGAAGGGGAGAGAGAAGGAAATAAAAAGAAGGGGTGAGAGGGAAGAAAAGGAGAGGGGTGAGAAGGAAGAAAAGGAGAGGGGTGAGAGGGAAGAAAAGGAGGGGGGTGAGAGGGAAAAAAAGGATGGGGGTGAGAGGGAAGAAAAGGAGGGGGGGGGTTAAAAGGAAGAAAAGGAGGGGGGTTAAAATAAAGAAAAGGGAGGGTGAGAGGGAAGACAAGGAGGGATGAGGAAGGGTGAGAGAGAAGAAAAAGGGGTGGGTGAGGAGGGGGTGAGAGGGAGGGGGTGAGGAGGGGGTGTGAGAGGGAAGAAAAGGAGGGGGTGGGAGTGAAAGAGCATGATCAAGTGAGAAACAGGAGCAAGTGAGAACACAAAACTGAGTAAGAACAAGCAAGAAGAACAAGGGGAGAGAGCAAGTGAGAGAAAGCAAAAGAGAACAAGGAGAGAGCAAGTGAGAGCAAGCAAGAGAGAACAAGGAGAGAGCAAGTGAAAGCAAGCAAAAGAGAACAAGGAGAGAGCAAGTGAAAGCAAGCAAAAGAGAACAAGGAGAGAGCAAGTGAGAGCAAGCAAGAGAGAACAAGGAGAGAACAAATGAGAGCAAGCAAAAGAGAACAAGGAGAGAGCAAGCAAGAGAACAAGGAGAAAGCAAGTGAAAGCAAGCAAGAGAGAACAAGGAGAGAGCAAGCAAAAGAGAACAAGGAGAGAGCAAGCAAAAGAGAACAAGGAGAGAGCAAGCAAAAGAGAACAAGGATAGAGCAAGTGAGAGCAAGCAAAAGAAAACAAGGGAGAGCACATGAGAGCAAGCAAAAGAGAACAAAGAGAAAACAAGCAAGAGAGAGCAAGAAAGAAAATAAGAGAAAAATTGAGTGACAAGAGCAAGAGAAAGATACACACACAACAAGAGGGAGCTAAGGTCGTGATGGATGCCTCACTGTTACAAATGTTTCCCACAACAGAAATACTACTGATAGTGGTAATGCCAGTGTGCTTTTACAGCTTCTGCTACTGCTGCTGCTGCTTCATGGGCTATCATAGGTGCCACTGTAAAGGATTACTTTCCCTAGTAATTTTCTCTCCACCCTTTGCAACTCTTCAAGAATTTGCTGTTTCTGAGAGCAGCAGCACTACACATCAAAGGGGTCATAAAGTGCCTGAGATATAAGGGGGAAGGGGGAATAGCAGTGGCAAAATGTGACAGAAAAAAAAGCAGTATGATAATTATGCTACAGTAGTACATTATTTTACCAAAGCTTACAAAATTAAGACTTATTCAAGTTGCACCTCGTTTTCGTGAAATATGATTAATACTCATTCAGCAGTCCATGACACTGGAAAAACTAATCAAGTGTGTTACTTAGCTTAAGTGTGGTTATCATAGCCTTTTACTGTACCTTGGCACGGTGTTCAACATTAGCTTTGCGGTCAAGGAGGAGTGAGACAACTTCATGCCGACCTTGGAAGCAAGCTAAGGTAAGAGCAGTGTTCCGATTGGTTTCAATTTGAGCATTGATGTCTGAGCCCATATCTAGCAGTAGTTTCACAGCTGCCACATGCCCATTCATGGCAGCAAGCATGAGCGGGGAGATGCCAAGCTTGGATCCTGTGCGTGAGTTGATCTCTGCGCAATTGTCAAGGAGGAGCTTAATAATGTTAACAAAGCCCCCAGATGCAGCAAGAGAAAGAGGGGTGTAGTCTGATACATTTCTGTGCTCCTTATTGGCACCTCGCTGCAGGAGAATTTCTACCACCTGTAAACCAAATATCTGAGCTTTACCAGCCATTATTAAAATTCATTCAAAGCATGTGTGTAAGCAACATACTGACAATTTTGATAATATCCAATTTCAAGTAAAATAAACCAGTTGCTGAAATATATTTTAAATATATATTAATCGTTTGGTATCTTGGCACAAATTTTTTTTACAAGAATTAATCAGACTTAAGGATTAATAGTAGGTGCTGACCTCGTATCTGCCTCCTGAGCACGCAAGTGAGAGAGGAGTGTCTTTGGTGCGTTCTGACTGAGCCTCAATATGTGCACCTGTATTGAGCAAGGTCTCCACTACCTTTGCATGTCCTGCTGTAGCTGCTAGAATCAAGGGGGTGAATCCTTTCTTGTCTCTGTGCTCTGTAAATATTAGATACCAAATTAGTATTCAAGAATAATGTAATAAAGGTATTTCTCCATGATTGATCATCTCTAATTTTTTAACAATTAAAACTGTCACAAAAACATTTGTTTATATTAAAATTTGTTGCAATACAAACTGACATCTGAAAGAGTTCACCAAGGTATCCACTCTTACCTATGTTCGCGCCTCGAGTAAGTAACAGCTGCACTAACTCTTCGTGGCCACCTGCACATGCCAGCGTCAGGGCTGTGTCGTGGTTGGAATCAGTCTCTATGTCTACATCAACCAGATGAGAGGGTATTGCAGCTGGATAATGGCATACTCCTCCTGGTCCTATGCCCGTTGATCCAGTGTATGGAACACTCCCATCGCTACCCATATATGGAACTGACACTGGTACTCCTCCTACCCCCAACTGACCACCACTCACCTATTAAAAGGTAACTGGTTAATAGAAAATTGAAGTCTATGTAAAAAATTTTTTTTAAAGAAGTATTACATAACACTGCAAAACTCAAAGAAGCCTAGGGCAATACTATTTTCATTTTAAGATGAAACTACTGTAGTTCATTTTAAATCCTTTAACTGTTCAGTTGCATTAATATTTATTTACATATTTCTACAACTCCATTAAACAGCTGCATACACTGGCATGACTGATAAAAAAGTGAATGACAATGAAAATGCTTCTCCTTTTTTGGGTCATCCTATTTCAGTAGGAGACAGCCAGTTTATTAAAAAAAATCAAATAAAATTATTAAATTACAACAAAAGGTTATAAATGGCACTTACCTGGGCAGCAGGTGTGGTTATCATATCAGGTAATTGGTCATTCAGTATTTTGGCTGGAGCTGCTGGAGTAGCAACCATTAAGCCTGACTCAACTTGCAGACCTTGGCCAAAGGTGGTTACAGGTCCATTGGTAAGAGGAAGGGTGCCAGATGGTGCTGCAATGTTAGCAGGAAAGTGGGCCATGGTGTGGGTATTGGCATACACCACGCCCTGGGCTGCTTGATCAAGAGGTAGGCCTGCAGCAACAGACTGGTGATGTGTAGTAACATCCTGTACAATTGCACCATCTGCACTGACAGGAAGTGTGTAATGACCATCTCGCTCTTGCTTGTTAACACTGCCCCGAACCTGCTTCTTACTTTTCTTGGATGGCTGACTGAGTGAAGCAGAATGAGAAACCTGTTGCCCTGAAGGAAGTGTGCCTGCACTAGTATGCAAGAGTGGTCCTAAAGGTGGTCCCCGCTGCTGACCTCCGCTCTCTCCTGTATTTACTCCTATTTGTGGCGAGTGTAGCAAAAATTTCTTCACTTGAGACTTGTTAGAATGAGGAACTCCTGTTACAACAGAACCACTTGTATTGGTATTAGTGTTACTACTACTGCTGCTAGCTGAAACTCCAGAGGAACCTACCACTTGCAGCTGCTGTGCAGCTACTGCTGCAGCAGCTGCAGCAGCTTGACTGGTGACTGGCTGGTTGGCTACTGCCTGTCCCATCCCCAAGGCAGACAAGTGACCATATTGCAGAGGCACAGAGCCTGTGCCAACTTGGAAGGGTGCAAATTGTAGATGAGGAGAGGGTACAACAGTAGTGGGAACAAACTGCAAACCTGTGCCTGGGGCCGGCCCCAACCCCGTCGACAGTTGCAGTGGAGTGACTATTGATGTTAAAGGAACAACTTCCGCTCCGCTATCAGCATCACGGCTCGCACTATCGCTTTCTAACTTATTTAAACCAACCCCACTATTAGCCACTTCTTCATTTGGTAAAAGCCCTGGACAATCACATTCTGAGGGAACACTACGTTTTTTATCCATTTTTCCTCTTGGTACAGTAGTATCAATCTTGTTCTTGTTCTGGCAGCTCTGGTCATGAGTAGTTTCAACAAGAAGTGGTGGAGGAAGGGGAGGTGGAGGTGGTGGAAGGCATTGTGTTGCTCCATTTGAAGGATGCAACACACCTGGAGGAGGTGGAGGAGGTAGGGATGTTACAGTCCCACCTGGAACAAGTAATGGTTGAGAACCTAAGCCACTAGCTGGACAACTATATGAACCATCAACCCCATGGCTCAGCTGTACTGGTTGAAGCTGTAACTGCTGTACAGCTTGGCTGCGCTGAACCATCATCTGCTGTTGGGTATTATGTTGCTGCTGAGACACTGGTTGCTGCTTCTGCTGCTGGAGTTGAAGTTTCTTTTTATCTGCCTTCTTTGATGGTATCATTTTAGGTCTTTCCGAAACAGGAACATTTCCAGTTGCTGGCCCAGAAGAAGAAATATTGTGTGTTGGAAGAGAAGGTGGAGAAGCTGGAGTATGATACACTGATGAAGCCGAGTAACCGGCTGTTTCTTGAGGGCAAGATCCCCCAGGAAACATTGATGAAGGTACTTGGGCTCCCTCAGCTGGAAGTGAAATTGGCAACTGTGCCGCAGAAGCTGCCCCACCATACAGGGACACCACTGGGGGTAATTCTGACATAACTACACCTGGGGGTAAACTTGCCCATCCAGTGCCAGGAAGGAAGCCTGTCTGAGTTTCCACAGTATGAGTGGCAATAGGTACATGGGTATGCAAGGATGCAGGAGGATAAACAAGAGGAGCTGCCAAAGAGGTGCTTCCTGCATTGATGACATTACTCGTGTTGCTATTGGTACTGCCGCTTGCTAAGGTAGTGATGGATGTCCCACTCATGTTACAAATGTTTCCCACAACAGAAATACTACTGCTAGTGGTAATGCCAGTGCTGTTACAGCTACTGCTGCTGCTGGTGCTTCGTGGGCTATCATAGTTGCCACCAAAAGGGATTACCTTCCCTTGCAATTCTCTCTCCACCCTTTGCAACTCTTCGAGAATTTGCTGTTTTTGAAGGATCTGCTCTTCACGATTTTGGTGAGGTTGCTCTGCCTTCCTTACAAGGTTGTCTACATACTGGTCTAAACGATCACATGGTCGTAACTTTGCACTAGCCTCTTCCTGATTTGCAGGTGGAGGCGAAGTTGGAGAGGTCGGAGTTAATAGAACATAATCACTATTGGTTGCATTATTGGCAGATGTAGCTTTTGCCTGAAAATATAAAATATTTTTGTAAGTTAAACTGTAATGTTAAATACATGAATAGATTATGCTTGAAAATTTACTTTAACAATGTCAAAAGTTGAAAGAGGAGCTTTACTCACGGTTTGAGCCTCGCTGGTGCTGGTCTTGTCCCCAGTAGTAGCAACAATGGGAGAGGTAAGGCCAGGAGTCATGGTGGTAGGTAACACAGACGTGGTGGCAGGTTTACGATTGGTCTTACTGCGATTTACCTTAGTCACCGACGCTTGAGTACCAGTGACTGTAGTTGATCCTCCTGGTAGTCCTCCATCTCCTAGTCGAGCTATATTATACAATTACAGTGAATGTGCATTATAAAATTTATATCAATAGTAGCAGTACAAAATTATCTCACTATATGTGATTTACAAAGCACTACTATGTAGCCTTACTTAACTTATCTAATTTGGAAGCTTTAAATCACTTGCAGTTTAAATAAACAAAGCCATTGCGAGTTTCTCTTCGTGATTTTCATACTATAGTACTGTATATCTGGTAATACAATACAGATTTCCCTCACTTTATGTGGATTCACTTTAAATAAATTCAGTATTACATGATGTTTTATTTCTACTGGTAATTTTGTGTGTGATATACATTTTCTTTATGCAATTTGCAATGTGTATCAAAGACTTCTTATGGAGAATTAAGTGTTTATTGCCTGATTGAGCTTAGTATAGCTGACTTGGCCCTGGAACACATCTACAGCATAAAACAAGGGACACCTGTAATTGCAAAATAAAACATTCTGAACATCTGGTATTCATTGTTAGCAAATGCAAAGTTTTATTCAAGGTTAACATTCTTACCAGAGAATAACACACTGTTGCATACAATAATAAACAGTGTCTACTGTCATATTTGGTTCTCAGAAAATAGCTACTTTTCTTTACGTAGAGGAGAACCCCTGTATCTGCAGGTTTGGTTTCTGCAGTTTCAGTTATCTGCTGTTCACCGTGGTCCGAAAATATTAAGTGAGGCAGCAGGATTTGACTAAAATTTTTTAATAGTCCGATTTCAATGATTTTTTTATTGTAATTTAAAGTGGTGGTGATCCAAAGGGTATACTAGAAGACTGAAGATTGAAGACTGTCCAAATAAGAAGGGAAAAAATAAAATTATTTTTGATAAGGGAAAAAATAAAATTATTTTTGATATGGGAATACTTTGGTAAAATTTGTGCCAAATTCTTAATGTTTAGGATGTTGTAGTTGACTTCACATGAACAAGTTAAAGGTAAAGATGAAATGTATAAAAGGAATTGAATGACATTATACTGTATCCCCCAAAATTCTTCAATTTTTTGTTTTTGTACTTTAAAATAAATAAAACAAATGGTAATTACTATAACAAATTCCCTTCATGGGATTGTAAAACTGTGATTCCTGAAAAAAAAAAAAGTGAAAATATTATAATCTATTCATACATAACAAAGAAAATTTGACTAATAACTTACCTGAGATAAAAACAATAAAATGTTACTAATGGATGTGAAATGTCATGAGTGTCTGCATCCTTTCCTCACTTATCACTAGCCTAATACATCACAATGCCTACACCATCACCTCACTTCATCATAGGCACTGTATCATCATCAAATCATACCATTGTAACAAGAATGGAGAAGCTGGCAAGTACCCACATTAGGCTAAGATATGCTTTAATTAAGTGGGAGGTGGCTGTACTCGGGCAAGCAGGTATGAAAACCATCAAAAAAACTGTGGTACCTCGAGTTTCGAACAGCTCCCAACTTGAACATGTAAGTGTATTTTTTGTAAGTGCTTTTGTAAGTGTATTTTATGGGGTTTGAAACGGACTAATCTAATTTACATTATTCCTTATGGGAACAAATTTGTTCGGTATCAGCACTCGAACAGCCTTCTGGAACAAATTAAGTTCGTAACTGAAGGTACCACTGCATTTGAAAAAAAAATTAGGTGAGTAAAGCTTACCAAAAAAATAGTTCAACAATCTGGTAATGTTTTAGTTTAAATCTCACTTTCGTATGATGTTTTTTAAGAAAATAATAACGTAATATTCATAATAATACAATGATATTAATAACAATTAACCCCTTTGTCATCAGTGCCAGTGTTCTACAGGTTTGCAGTCTCTGTGCCGTAGTAGGACACCACAAGCTCAGCTCACTCAGATGAGCTGCGAGTGGTAAATTTAGGCCTAGATGTGAAAGAATGGGTTGATGTGGTAAGTGTGATCACAAAAATAATCCTGCCCCATGCAGTGCATAATGGAAAAAAGCTACGACCATGTTTTTGGTTAAAAATAGCAACTTTGCGGTATATTTTTGGATTTTTTTTTATGGTCATATTCTCAGTTTCTTGGTATCATTTGATAGAATGGAAGAAATATTACAAAAAGAGATACGCCTTTATTGGTTTCAGGACTGGAAGTAGCTTCAAATTGAGATCAAAGTAGCAGAAATATTCAATTTTTGCCAACATTCCAGAGTAAACAAATTGTCATTCATCCAACTGGTATGTCTAATATGCATTCATGAATGCACTGACAATGTTTATACAATTATTACAGTAATGCATAACAGTAAATCTTCTATTTTTTGTGCAAAAAAAATTCTTCGTAAATATTCAAAATGCAATTCATGTGTAAAGCCTGGGAACATAACTAATGAACAGAGGAAATGTTACTTTAATGCCAGGAATGCTTGCTGTATTCTAGACCCTATTATGAAACTGGCAAATTTTTAAATTTGAGTAAAACTGGCTAAATTACTAATTTCTGATCACTTTATTAGGTAGTTGAAATAGTTGATTGGGCAGTTTCTTGTGCTCAATCGATAAAATGAAAGACATACTAGTGAAATAGTATGAATCTGGTTGACTGGAACAATGTAACTGGCCTAAAAGAGGACTCAAAGTGGGCAAAATCACCGATGCAAAAATATCACTGACAGTAAAATTTGAGAAAGCCAATTTTGTACCTTTGTTTTATCACCTTTAGAAAAAAATTCTCAAACATTTAATAAGAAAAAAAAAATTTTTTTTTTAACCCTTTGACTGTCGCGGCCGTATATATACGTCTTACGAGGTACCATGTTTGACGTATATAGTATGCTCATAAATTCTAGCGGCTTCAAATCAAGGAGGAGAAAGCTGGTAGGCCCACATGTGAGTGAATGGGTCTGTGTGGTCAGTGTGCACCACATAAAAAAAAATCCTGGAGCACGCAGTGCATAATGAGAAAAAAAAAAACTCCGACTGTTTTTTTTTAAATTAAAATGCCGACTTTGTGGTCTATTTTCGTATAGTATTTATGGTTGTATTCTAGTTTTCTTGGTCTCATTTGATAGAATGGAAAACATGTTATAGAAAAAGAGATGATTTTGATAGATTTTACTATAAAAAGAACCTGGAAATGGAGCTCAAAGTAGGGGAAATGTTTGATTTTTGCCGATGTTCAAAAGTAAACAAATGACATCATTGTCCAATAAATGTCCAACTAGCCATTCTAATATGCAGTCATGAATGGGTTGATGTTATTTATACAGTTATTACAGTATTGCAGTAGTCTGCATAATAGTAAATCTTCTATTTTTTATTTGAATAAAAATACAAAATAGAAAGCAAGAGTAATATCAGAGGGGCCTGGAGACGTGACTGATGAACAAAGAAAACATTATTTTAGAGCCAGGAATGTCTGCATTGTTCATTCTGGACCTTATTTTGAAATTGTCATTTTTTTAATTTTCGTGAAACTGGCCAAATTGCAAATTTCTGACCACGTTATTGGGTAGTTGAAATTGGTAAATGGGCAGTTTCTTGTACTCAATCGATAGAAAAAACGGAGTTCTAAAGAAATAGCTATGAGTTTGGTCGACTGGAACAATGAAATTAGCCGAAAATAGGGCTCAAAGTGGACGAAATCGCCGATTTGTAAATATCGCCAAGGTCGCTAACTTCGCGAGCGTAATTCCGTCAGTTTTCCATCAAATTTCGTTTTTTTTTGGTGTCATTACAATCGGGAAAAGATTCTCTATCATTTCATAAGAAATTTTTTTTTTTTTTTTTTTTAAATTTTGCGACACCAGGAGACACCTCAGGATTGGGGGTTGCGACAGTCAAGGGGTTAAATTCTTAAGACACTCGACAATTTTCAGATCGGGGATCTGGACACTTAAAGGATTAATAATAAATATATTAATAATTAATGACTCAGGAAATCATAATGACACGATTGCAAACAAACCATACAACGGGTGGGGATAGAACCTGCAATCAGAGAGCCTCGAAACCCCAGACCGTCGCGTTAGCCACTGGACCAGCCCGTTATATGATTTGTTTGCAATCGTGTCATTACGATTTCGTGAGTCATGTTAACGGCTTTGAGTGGACTTGAGCTAGAGTTCGTCACGGCCACGCTAGCTGGAGATTTGTCTATAAAAACTTGCATTTGTGGTCACAGTGGTGCCTATGCTAGCCTTCCTATGGTGTAGAAATATACCTAGTTGGACGAATCTTATTGTGGCAAGCTGGTCCAGTGGCTAATGCGACGGTCTGGAGTTTCGAGACTCTCTGATCGTGGGTTCTATCTCCGCCCGTTGTATGGTTTATTAATAATTAATAAAGGAGGAAAGTTGAAAGTGGACATAGATAAGAGTAAGGTGATGAGAGTATCAAGTAAATTAGGTAGAGAAAAATTGGATATCAGATTGGAAGAAGGGAGGATGGAAGAAATATGTTCAGATATTTGGGAGCAGATTTGTTGGAAGATGGGTTTATGAAGGATGGGGTAAAACATAGAACTGATAAAGAGTAAAAGGTGGGTGGTGTATTGAGGTATTTGTGGAGACAAAGAATGCTATCCATGGAGGCAAATAAGGGAATGTACATGTGAATGTTTCAAGTTATTCTTTGACGAACCCTTGATGAAAATTATTGTCAGGGAAAGCAACAGATACTTCAAGTACACCATGCCAACACAATACTTTCAGCAAAATCATGCCTACACCAGTGGAAGGAGACAACTGTGGCTGAGAAGTATCTTTTCTTTGCCACAATAATGCTTATGCCACATGTGTATAAGCACAGTGTCAAATCATACAGGTCAACAGACCGTCTGATTGCAACCCCAGGTTTCAGTGATATAATGCGAGTGAATTGATTTGTGCTACTATTACGTATGCTTCACTTCTCAGACAACACCAGGCCTGACAGAAACGACAGGTTTGCTGCCAATGACATCACGGCATTTCAGTGGCATGACAAACGAGATGTCACACTGTTGTCATCAGTTCATCCTAACGAA